AAACTGACCGTTGGGGTCACAACGTGATACAATGTTTTAATCATAAATGCAAAATGCAAATTTATTAAATAATTAGTTCATTAACAATGCACATTGCACAGCAAGGCGCCTAGCTAAGTGCAATTAACAGCAGTGAGCAGTATAGCAGTTTTATGCGTGTGTGTTTTTAGTTTTTACCATGCACAGCGCACGCCGCGCGCAACTGCTGCCATCATGCTAACTGCTGCACCCGCACACTGCTACTAATTGCTGCTAACTGCAGCTGCTAACTGCTGCTAACCGCTGCAAATGGTGCGCAGGCGACAGTCAGCAGCCAGTGAGCAGCAGTTTGTAGGTTTACAACCTACCAGTACCAGGACGCGCGCCGAGTTGGAACAGATATTTTACAAGTATCACCCGTTAAGCAGCAGTTAGCTGCAGTTTTTGCATTTTGGCTCTCCTGTGAATGGACAATTTGTTATTATGAAGTACAAATGACAAAAATTAGCATGTGGTTCCCAGGTAACGCACAGTATTTAAAAACGTTCAGTATGATAGAGACTGGTCTGTCAAGTAATATTTATATAATCCTGCCATGCCATGCCATGATAGTGAAAACTGGAAAGCATGATGAGCAGAATTAAGGCCCTGCATACGGTCCACGCGCTACATCTTACCTGGGGATCTCAGGCTAATATGTTTATAAACATTTACATAGCAAATGCAATGATAGCTAGCTAGCCTGGCGTATTTGAACTTTCTAAACGAGCGTGCTAAATTATATTACAGTCGATCTTCGAAAGTTTTCTAAAAGGGCCCCCGACATGACAGTTAAGACCAGCTTGAATCGATGTATTTTCGGACGCTGATTCTGAATCACCCCCCCCCCCATTGCCATGACATAAGGTTAAAGTGCTCCCTTGGCAAGATCAAAGATATTGGCGAAAAACTGTCTCGATCACGTGAAATGACCTTATTAATAAGGAAGTTGGTATAATTTCTCGTTAGGGTTTCAGTGAATGCTTTTGTTGGGGATTGGGTTTGGGTCACAACAATTATTGTACAAATGCAGGTTAGGGCTGGGATCAGATTAGAAGGGTAGGGTTAAAGTTTTCGGATAGTCGTTCAATGCCCTTGTAGCTAGAGTAGGGGGGTGCACCATAAAAATAAACTTGCTCGGATTTTAAAAATTTTTGCTCCATTGTTTTCTAGAGACTGTGAGAATTTTCACAATACCAAATTTGTCATACCTTTTTAGAAAGATCAGTGAGTTTCGCCTAGGTGCCATATTTGATGGTGCGCGGCTTTTGGAGCAAAATTAGCTGTAAAAGTCGCGTAATTTGACCAAATTTGACCAAATTCGTTAATTTTTGTCGTATTATTTGGATATATCTTCAGTTTCTTGAATGAGATCATTCTGAAAATTGGCGACAACCTTCCAATAGGGCTTTCACAGCTGTCCGATAAATTTGGTGGATATCGGAGTTGATATAATAATCAAAATGGGGCAAAATACGCTGCTTTTAGCTGTAACATAATGTCTGATGGTTGGATATGCTTTAAACTTTTCGGACACTTTCCTTGTAAGTCTATGATTAAGCTTACCAATTTTTGTTGCAATCAGAGGTCGGGAAGGATACTTAATATCTATTTGTTTGAAGAAAATTGTGCTGGCCGAAATTAGCGCTAAAATGATTAATCATCTGCATCATCCATCTTTTATCAACGGACAAATAAATTTAGAATTACAAAATTAAAATTCGCAGCTTTTGATGAAAAAGTTAAAATTGTATAACCCATAATAATGCAAATAATTATATTGTTTGGTACTGCTCGGTCATATTATTTGGTCTTGACACTGCTCGGCCATGGCCGAGGAGACTCATTTGATTGTCATATTGTTTGGTACTGCTCGGCCATGACCAGCCGAGGAGTCTCATTTTTAAAATCTTTCTAAAATTTTCAAAATGACACTCCTCGGCCATCATAAAGGTACATAGATAAATATAAATAAGATTTTATAAAGTTTAACTAAGCTTACATATTAAGCTACAGATAAATTAAATATTATTACTTTAGTAATATTTAAAAACGTTTCCTTTCACCTTTTTGTATTAGCATAATATTAGTTTAATGTTTATGATATGTTTTAGAACATTCTCAAGATTAAAACTTTAAATCATTGAAAAGGGCTACACAGTACACAGTAACTTAACTTTAAAACTGTTGAAAAACGATTGAATTAATTTATGCTTATAAATCATTTCATGTGTTTGATATATGTGTTTGTTTATTTATAATCATTAGTTATAACTAACGTCAACCAGTTGTAACATAATCATACAAAATATTATATACCTAACGTGATAAAATCAAAAACATTTCCAATCTGTAATTGAACATTGAAAACTATTTAATTCGTATTTGGGGTTCCTAAGCGCACATCTGAAGATCCGAGTTTTCTTCATACTGACGATATGAGTATTCTTTCACCATTTCATCACCATCTACACGAACAATCTCATTAAACTATATAAAAAATAAGTATAAAGAATAAGGAAAAGGAACGGGAATGAAGCCAATACCAGAAGTGAAACCCCACCAAAGAATAATTGATCCTTAGGTAGACCTGGTGAAATAAAGTAACTGAACTGTAAGTTTAAGAAAAGACGGAAGGAATAAAGGAGAGAGGAAATAATGTTATGTGAACATCATCAGCAGATGACTTGGCACACCGGTTTCGGGGGTTTAATACCTGTACCGGTTTAATGTGCCAAGACCCCCTAGCAATCACTCGTCAGTGATCACCTGTTCACGTTAAATGTGATGTCAAGGATGTCGCTGACATCAAGTATACTGTATTTGTACAGAATACTAGGTCGGTCTTTCAGAAGCTTTCTGAATTTACTCTTCAGGAGTCTGTCATTATAACATCTTGAAAGAAGTGTCCTATAAAGGGTGTTGGTAGAACACAGAAAAGAATCAAGGTCAGAGATAATGGAAGAGTAACGAAGGACCTGACCGTAAAAAACATTATAACCAACAGAAGAGGAAATATTACTGTTAGGAAATGTGTACATGACCACAGGAAAGTTGAAGTCATCAAGTTTGTTGTAAAGCTTGGTGGCGACGTGTCCGGAGTTATTCATCGAGATGTTGATGTCGAGATAGTTTACGGACTTATTGTCGTCTCCACTCCTCTCCATAAGCAGGTCAGGTGGATAAATGGACCTGATTAGGTTAGAGAAATGCAAATAGTTCATGGTGTTGAGGTCGTCGACATATCTGCAGTTTCTTGAGAGGAGCTTAGCGAGACCGAACTTCTTTTCTTTGATTAGGCGTGCCATGTAGTTGAATTCACACTTCCCTAGCGAAAGATCAGCGAACTGGCTACTAGAATTCCCTCCCATAGGAATGCCTTTCGTTTGTCTTAAAATCTGATCCCCAAAACAAACAAAAGTGTTAAACAGAATAAATGTAATAGCTGTTTTGAGTTTATCAGCAGAAAAACATAAGTATCCGTTATATTCCTTTTTAGAGAAAAAATTGTTGTTCTTATACAGAGAAACACAAATAAATTTATTCGTATTACTAAAGAGGAGATCTATTAGCTCGAAAAGCAGTGACTGTACAACCTGAAGGTCTAGATTGGTATACAGAGTGGTAAAGTCGTATACCTGCATATTAAAAATCTCTAGTCTAGGCAGCCTTTCCAGGAACTGTTTAGAGCTGTTAATGCTCCAGTCGCAGTTAATTCCAGTATTGTTGTAGATAGAGTTGCAGTATTTGGAAAAGTATTCTTTTAAAACTTTTAAAGCTTTGTTGACTACAACTGATATCTGCTTAGTGGTACATTTACTGGCCCCAGCTATAAATCTAGACTTATAAGGATTCTTGTGAAGTTTAGGAATCCAAAAGATTCTCGGTAGACAAAGGTTGTCCTCAGAAACACGAATATTAAAGTTATCTTTAATGAAGTTCACATGTTCCTGAATAATATCATCCTCTACAGAGTTAACCGGATGATAAGTAGAATTGCCACGACACTCTAGAGAAGTGAGATCGTAGCCAAGTTCGTTGAGAAGGGTTAAAAGATAAAACTTCTTGCAGACAAAAACATAATTATTTGAAGCTTTATCTACGGAGCAAATAATAAAAGAAGAAGAAAGACTGTCGAGATAAGATTTAACATCATCCCTTTGTAGAATGGAATTGTAGGGAGTGAAGTTATTAGGGGAGGAGGAGAGGAAGTTAAGGCGATTGGTGAAGATCCGGGAGACCTCATCTTTCCAATCCTGGAATTCCAAACATGAAAGTCCATGTTTCCTAGCCATACGGGTGGCGAAGTTGGCTGAACACTCGTTGAGGCTCTCCAAGATTTGCTCAGGAGGAACAGACACAGGTTCCCTAAATTTGGTACCGTAACTCATGATGCCTCTTAAATCCTCGTGCTCAATGAAAGCAGGGTCACCGGTGATGATGTGGCCTCGAGGCTGATAGCAATAAGGGTTACTGGAACAGGGGCAATCACCTTCCAGGATGGAGGAAATAGTAGTATTATCAAGTGATTTAAGGAATCTATTATAATTAAAAAGCTTACGCCCGACAGGAATATCGTACTTATAGTAAACTTTTAAGGGAAGGAAAGGCGTAAGGTTTGGAGGGAGAAGAGTCAAGATCCTAGAGTCACGAATGACTGACTCTATTCGGAGTTTATCAAATATTTTAGAACAATAGTGAAAAGTGATAAACTCGCTATTAACAGAGGTGATATTAGGAGAAGAAGTGCTGTCTTGGCCAGCAAAAGATTGTATAACAAGGAAAATGGCTCCAGATTTGCAGAGGGAATGAGAGCTAAGTTGCTTGAGCTCGCCTTTTTGAAGGCTACTTATATCTTTATAAAAGTTGTATTTGCTTTCAGACATTTTTCTTTTTAAACTTTCATATTTATTGTCAATCTCTCTTAAAGTGAGAGTCCTTTTGTATATTCTATCTTCATGGCTTTTGTTTTTCTTTTTTCTGCCATGTCCTCTTTTATATCTTTTTATTTTACTTTTAAAATAAATATCGTTAAAGTTGCTTTTAGAAATATTACCAGAACCTTTTATGTTGTCATTGAGACCAAGAGGGTGAGCAGTGCTCAGGAGATTAATCCAAAGAAGTTCCCTGTCAGCTAAGGCCAGACGAGGGTCTTCAGTAGAGGAAGGGTCAATAAAATCAATAATTTGAATGGAGGCGTCATGAAAATTATGACCGGGAGTATTAAAGTGGTCATGGACAAAGGAGGATTTGCCGGCTTTAACCGAAGCACGGTGTCCATTCATGCGTTCATTAAGGCGCTGTTCTGTGAGCCCAACATATTGAATACCACAAGAACAAGTGAGGAGATAGATAATAGAAGAAGATTTACAAGAAAAGGATTCAGAGTGAGTTAACATGAAAGAATTATTAGTAACGTAACTGGTGAAAATATTACTTGACTTGAATGGTTTACAGGTGAGACATCTTGACTTATTACACGGTGTTATATCAGGGGAAATAATACTGTTGGGATGAATCCAAGTGTTGGATGTGATGTTATATATTTTATTTCCTTTCTTAAGTCAAGAATTTACAGGACAAACTTAACAGCCGACTCCAACTGAAAAAGCCCTGGGAACCATCACCAACCAGATGCCTTGGGGCTGCCAAGGTTAAGCGGGCGTTAGGTGACATGAACTAATGTTCTCCCACTGTCACAGTGCAGCCAAGCAGAGTGCTGTTGTTCCAAGAACACTCTTTATAACCGGATCACACACTGCCGCTGCTTCTCGTACCGTAGCTAGGGCGGGCAGCTCACGCCCCTGTTTGGTCTAAGGAACAGAAAACATGAAGGGAAACACTCCTGAAGAACTGTGCCAAAGGGGGTAAAAATATCATAAAAAGGGCCAACTAGCAAAAACTAAGGACGTAAATCATATAATAACAAGCTATCACTTGGCGCATCCGGCAGGGCGGAGGAATCGCCACACACTTTCAAGTACGTGTTTCTCCACTGCTTCTTGACTCCCAGTGTGGAAATATCCACTCAAAAAAGCATCGAATTCCCCACTCACATGTACTGATTTATCTCCAGTCAGAGAGGCCCATGTTTGAGCCTCCTCGTGGAGTCCAGTCTGTGATATCCACAAGTAATACTCGTTCTCGAACATAAACACGACATAGTCGCGATAACTTGCCATTCCCTTGATTTCACCCTGGGGAAGACCAGCAAAAGCAGTGCTCCCTTCATCTTCTCCATCCATCTCCATCTCCGACTCATTCCAATTCCAGCAGTACACTGTCCTTCTTGGTTCGCTTTTAACAAAGAAGAATGTTTTACCGTTGTTGTAGTCAGTAAAGGCTGCGTCCACAACCCCCTCAATTCCTGGCCATTGTTCAGCTACGTTCAGAGGGTACCCTGCCGATACCACCGGGAGGTTGCTATCATCAGCTTCTAGCCTAACGTAAGTATCACGTGATATGACGTAACCGTACTTTTCGGTCGGGTGATTGAAAGCTGCGTTTATTTCCATTATACATTCCTCATCGGGTTTCAGGCATTGTCTTGGCTCGAGATTCAATATGACAGCGTTAAACTCGTTCACTTCGCCTACTTTACCAAAGTCAATAGTGAAATTGACCACCGGAACCTCCGAAGTGTCTGTTCCCGGATCTTGCTGGATCTCGTGATCTTCCGTCATATCCATCTCGTGTGGATTTGTTTTTCCTTCGTTGTAGGGGTCCGTAAATCTGCCGTAGAAATTGGCATGTGCTTGAAACAGCACCTGGGTCTGATTTGTGTACGTGTTTCCAGCGTTTCCAAGGAACATGTCATCCTCGCTCCATGGTTTATCCAAGTTAACCCAGCTCTTTATATCTATCAAGAAGCCATCGCAAAGTGGTGTGATTTCTTCGTAGTTGGTGGGCCAGCCAGAACCAGCATCCCCCCAGGGGTAACCGGAGACGTCACCACCTTTGTTAGGGCAGCCACCACCTGTCAAACCAAACTTGACTCTGTTCATGTGATGATGTCCGAATGTTGCCAAGCCGTACACCTGGAATTATAATCAAATGTCACGTGATATTGTTAAAGGTAAGAGTCTAATTCAAAATATACATCATGCATGTTTTAAACTAATTACAACACTACAAATCTATAACATTTATTGAGGACGTTACAGAAGGAATATATTGAATGTTGTTTGAGGAGGCCTCACTCTCCTCACGTCCGAATACGGCGTTTCTCTTGTCGCTAATGTGGTCATTTTATTAAAGGTAAAATTCTTACAGCTAAAATTTTTAAATACCTGTTTCGGTTCAGTTTCTTTCTCCATGGGAATCTTTGGAAAGTTATCCGGCACTGTGTTCTTAATCGCGTGGTTTCTTCTCACCAAACCCTCGTAATATTTCCCATCAGGTCGAATGTAGGTCTGGTGTGTCTCCCCACTGGTATCCACCATAACAAATAACATTGAGAGGTATGTTTCAGGTGCATTATGGTAAGATCTCTCCATGACGTAAACTTCTATATCTACTTTATTTAAATCAACTCTCTGCCAGTTTACAGTATGCACTCTTTGTCTCAGCTCTTCAAGAGTTTTCGGCATCATGTCAGTTTCTGGGTTTCCCTGACCTATGTTTGCCCACACTCCAGCGTCATCGAATAGATGAAATCGGATGACGTCGTTGAAATTTTCTCGGATATCTATACCAGCTCTTTTACCGAGAGGGCCGACTTTATTCGCTGTTGGCTGCACTTTCATCATGTGCCACGTGACTCCCATGTGTGGGAAGTCTGGTGAAGACATCTGAAAAGGGTCATAATGAGTCATAATTATGACTAATGAGCCAAATGAAATTCAAAGACTATTGTTCGAATATTGGGATATGCGTTCCATTTTCGTGAGTTATAGGTATGGGGATGAGGTTAACTGATGACATGTTCATAAGCGGAGAATATTATGCAATCTTTTCAGTCAGAAAACGTATTTTAAAATACTAGAAATTTAAAGATTACTCGCGAAATATCACAAAAAGATTAAAAAAAGCTCTTAGATTCATCATGACATACCTGGCAGTAATAGAGAGGAAGTTCGATAGGAACATGATCATCATATTTGTCCCCAAACTTAGGGTGATAAATCGGCAAATCAATCCAATTCAGCCATCCTTCCTCCGAAACCTCTACATCTCCAAAAGTGTAGTTAAACTCAGCTTCATATTTGGGGTCGATGTTCATGTAGTGCTCTTCAAGAATCTCCAGTAATTTTCTAATGTCGTCGTCCTGTTCAGCCGTTTCTTTGTCCCTCAGATCAACTAACGCCATTTCTTTTTTCTCCACAGGAACACCCTCTCTTCCTTGCTCACGATAAACTCTGATAAAACCATTTTCCTGGAATCTCCAGACCCCATGCTTTCCGTCTCCAACTAACAAAGCGGTCTGCTCATGCATTGACATGAACCGATGTGTGCCGTGTGTCGCCATGAAACCAGAAGAGGAAGGGTCGTGAGGCATCCCCGAATTGGAATGGTAGTAATAGGGATCGTCCCTCTCTCTTCCATGCTGAAGGATAATTAATTATAATTAAAGGATAACTAAATATAATTAAAGGATAATTCAGTTAAAATCAAGAAAATGGCACATTCAAAGCAACATCGGTTATATTTTTATATTCACTGGATGGAAACAAATTTTAATTTCAAAGACTTTTTTGCAAAAATTTATTCCAAGATCTCCAAAAGGTTAAATGGGATAAGTTTTATCTGTCAAACTTGCAAGAACTGCGATTAGATAACTGCGATTAGATAAAAATAGATCAGATAACAGAAACTAACCTGAGTGTTACAAGCTCCTGTGTGGTTAAATAAAGACTCTCGGATTCTATGCATATAATCTGAGTCCACAATCGAATGATTAACTAGTTTCACAATCTCTTCGTCTATTACAACACCATCAAATTTGTTTTCCAACTCATCAGGAATACACTGCCTCTCCGTAAGATCCAGTTCAACATTTACATAGTCATTCACTTTGCCAATTTTACCAAAATCAATGGTAAAATCAACCACAGGAACTGCGGAAAAGTCAGTTCCAGGATTTTCCTGAATTCTGTGATCTTCCGTTAAATCCAACGTGTACGGATTTATTTTTCCTGCATTCCACGGATCAGTGAATCTCCCGTAAAAGTTGGCATGAGCTTGATATAACACTTCAGTTTGCTCCTCAAATTCATGACCAGCATTTCCAAGGAACATTCCATCGTCATTCCACGTTCTATCCAGGTTAGCCCAAGTCTTAATATCAATCACAAAACCATCGCAAAGTGGTGTGATTTCTTCGTAGTTGGTGGGCCAGCCAGAACCAGCATCCCCCCAGGGGTATACGGAGACATCACCACCTTTGTTAGGGCAGCCACCGCCTGTCAAACCACTGGCAATTCGAGCCATGTGGTGATGTCCGTACGCTGCTAATCCGTAAACCTAAATTAATGAGAATATCATACATTGAGAGGAAATTATCTTGACCGGTTTGAAAGTCTTATATAAAAGCTTACAAGATTTTATAATTACTAGGATTATATACTATTGAGGGAGCAAAAGCCAAGAATATCAAAACTACAATATAATGCGGATAATAAATGATTCAAAATTTAAATTGCACTATCTTTGCATCTCTTTTGATTTATGGTTACAGGTGAGTTAAAGATCATTCTAGTGTTATTCGCATGATCATGAAGCAAGAAACTGACAGTGCAGACTTCTAAATACCTGTTTTGCTCCAGCTTCCCCCTCAATGGGTATGCTTGGAAAGTTATCCGGCACTGTGTTCTTAATCGCGTGGTTTCTTCTCATCAAACCCTCGTAATATTTCCCATCAGGTCGAATGCAGGTCTGGTGTGTTTCCCCACTGGTATCCTCCATAACAAATAACATTGAGAGGTATGTTTCAGGTGCATTATGGTAAGATCTTTCCATAATGTACACTTCAATATCTATTTTCTCCAGGTCTATCCGTTGCCAATTCACGGTTTGCGCCCTTTCCGTCAGCTCCCTTAACGTTTTAGGCATCTTATCAGTGTCAGGATTTCCCTGACCAATGTTTGCCCAAACTCCTGCATCGGGAAAGCGGTGGAATCGGATTACATCGTTAAAGTTCTCTCGAACATCAACCCCTGCTCGCTTACCAAGAGGACCGACCTCGTTAGCTCTAGGTTGTGCCTTCATGATGTGCCACGTGACTCCCATGTGTGGAAAGTCTGCACTTGACATCTGAAAATATTAAAAATGAAATCATGGCTCTCTGTCCGATGAATTGATAAGTAAAGGCTCAAGGAGATAGATTTTTTCTTTCCGTGTCGAAAAGTTCATGAAATTGAATGGCAATAATATGTATTAACAAATTCAGTCCACCATATAACCAAATCATACCTGGCAGTAATAGAGAGGAAGTTCGATAGGAACATGATCATCATATTTTTCCCCAAACTTAGGGTGATAGATCGGCAAATCAATCCAATTCAGCCATCCTTCCTCCGAAACCTCATCTCCAAAAGCGTAATCAAACTTATGGTTAGGGTCGATATTCTTGTAATTCATACTTAGAATTTCAAGTAATCTTTCAGTCTGCTTTTGTTCTTTGGACTGCGTTTCTTTTTTAATATCTTTCAAGTCCCTCGCGTCAATTAAAACCATTTCCTTCTTCTCCTCCGGTACTCCTTTTTTACCTCGTCCCCGATACACCCTGATAAACCCATTCTCCTGAAATCTCCAAACACCATGCTTACCCTCTCCAACTAATAAAGCGGTCTGCTCATGCATCGCCACGAACCGATGTGTGCCGTGTGTCGCCATGAAACCTAGACCGGAAGGGTCGTGTGGCATTCCTGAGTTGGAGGAGTAGTAATCAGGGTCCGTTTCCTTGTCCCTGGCGTGCTGAGGGGTGATTCAGTTAGAAAAGAACGGGAGAGTCATTTAAATGAAAATATCATGTTATAATGCTAACTAAAATGTCAATGACGCTAATCTAGAAGTGTTTAATAAACCAACTTGGGTGCTGCAGGTCCCCGTGTGATAAAAGAGATTTCTCATCGCATCGTCGTGAGGTTGTATTACAGAGTGGCCCTCTGGTAGAAGTATGAGTCCGATGACGAGGAAAATCAGCATCATCGGTCCTACGCGGGAGTAACAGTTTTGGTTTAATATTGACGAGAAGGAGAAGCAGAAAATACTATAGAAACGTAATTAAAGTTTCGATGATATGCAGATGGTGTCAATGGAACAGGGAACTATGGTTGCAATTGAGGACCTGTACGCAGTGTACGGCCTCCGCAGTTTTAATCGTGAAAGTATAACCGTCCCTCAGAAATGAGCATCTAAACAAGAAGAAATAAACAATTTGCGTCACGATTCGAGAATAAACAATTCGCCAGACGCCAGACGGAAGAACAAACAGTAAAGCAACAAGTAAATTGAATCATGAGGTTGGGCGGGATGGGAGAACGTAGGTTTATTTTTCTTCCTAATTTCTCCAAAATCTAATACCTTAGTACACAATATTTATACATCACAATATTTATACGAATTTCGATTTTTCGTATAAAATTTATGTCGTATAAAATTTATGGGTTATAAATTTTGTGTCGTATAAATTTTCCATTCTCAAGCCGTATGTTGATCAAGTTATCAAGAAACTAGGACTCCCAGAAAATCAAAAGGCACTCTTAATATGGGATGATTTCCGTGGTCATACTGCATCTAAAGTACAGAACCTATTGCCATCATTGAATATAGTTGCTAGTGATGTACCTAAGAACCTCACCCATTTGCTTTCTCCTCTTGATCTGACGGTAAACCGTACATTGAAACGAATCGAGCAAGATGACAGTGCAGAATATATCAGTGCTGAGATTACTAGATGTCTTCAGATTTCTCCGCGAATAGATGACATTAAAGTTAACACAGGAAAGCCTATTCTACGAAATTTGCACGCAAAGACTATCACGAAAGCGTTTGCTTACTTTCAGGGACCAGAAGGCAAACAAAACATTCTGCAAGGGTGGAAAGCTGCAGGAATTTGGAAAGCAGTAAAATCATTAAGAGACGCACAGAACATAATGGACACTAATGGCTTAGTGGATCCGTTTTCTCGTCTTACACTGATTGATTAATTTCTATATTTCTATTTTCCAGTCATTTAGATGGACCGTATGGGTAACGCCAGCGGCGGAGAGACGACAACATCACCCTCCGTAATGTTTACCTCAGCTACAGGACGATCCCTGTTTGCTACACTCCTCATCAGCTTCGCCACCTTTAACATACGTGGCCTCGGTTCTTGTGATGATCCAGACGACATCCACAGCAAACGGGAGCAACTGGGTACCGATTGTCTACGGTACGGCATAGATATCTGCGCTATTCAGGAGACTAAGGTTGTAAAACCGGATTCTTGCAGTCTTAGCAACGGATACAAACTCTTATTGTTTGAGCAGAAAAATGGCCGGCACTATGGACTCGGTTTTGTTATCAGTCCCCGATTTATTGACTATGTGGTATGCTGGAACAGTATCAGTGATCGAGTAAGCTTTTTGGACCTAGAACTCCCTACAAAATCAGGAAAATTTATCAAATGTAGGGTGGTCAATGTATATGGGCCACACAAGAAACTTGCAGAAAATGATCAACAACTGTTGATCAATTTCTACGGCCAAGTTAGGGACGCTCTAAATGTCCCTGCTAATGTTGAGATATTTGTTTTGGGGGATTTTAATTCAAAGTTGGGAAAAATGACTACTTCAGATAAGGACTTTGGTTTTGGTCGTTTCATGGGTAAACATGGTATGGGTTTGCGCAACGATATGGGGGAAAACTTGTTAGACTTGTTATCAGAATTTGACCTCTTTGCCTCCAACACTGGTTTTTATCATCCTGCTCGACATACGACCACCTACACTGGCTGGAGGAAGGACTGGAGTGCCGGGCGAAATAGTAAAAAGACGATCCCGGTCTATTCTCAGATCGATTTCATTCTGTGTCGGAGTAGGTCGAAGCCAATGCTACAAGATTCTAGATCTTATGCAGGCACTTTGACATACTCTGATCACAGATTTGTTGTCACTAGAGTAGACTTTAAGGACATCTGTCTTTGCTATAAACGCCACTCCAAGACATCCTTAAAGTTCAACACCTCTGAACTCACCTCGAACCCCACCATTCAGGTGAAATATCGTCAATCCTTAGATGATAACTTAAGTAACACTGTTTCTGCTCTGGATCCAAATTCAGACTTGAATGGCTTACTTGAGTCCATAAAGGATGCTGCAAAATCGTCAATTGGTGTCATCAGACACAGGAAACGTAATCGCAGCGACGATGATGAGGTGAAAAACTTATCTAGCCAGCGTTACTTGTTGAGACAGCAGCTTAATGATAACCAGTCTTTAGACAGAACCTCACTTAGATCATCTATTAACTGCCTCACCAATCAGATCAAGCAGAGACTTTCTAACATACGATCAGCTGCTGCTGATGCTATCTGTAATACCATCAGTTCAACAACAGATAGTAAGAAAATGTTTGAAGCTGTTCGAACCCTGAACTTACCTAAAGCCCCTTCTTGTATTGGTGTTCATGATGAGAAAGGGTGCAATATTGCAACAGACACTGGTAAAGCTGCCGTAGTTGCTAAGTACCTTGAGCAACAACTTACTCGTGATGAAGCACCTTTAGAACCTTTTGTAGGACCTCCTCGCCCACTAGTTAAGCCATTCACTAGTGAAGAAATCGGATCAGCTGCCAGAAGTCTCAAAAATGGTCGAGCTAACGGCCCAGATGGAATTCCTAACGAGCTTCTCAAGTATTCTACTGGATCAGTACACAGACGTTTTGCAGACATTATCAATAGAAGCTTCGAGACCAATTCCTACCTTGACCCCATTGGACAGGCAAACATTACCCCCTTACAGAAGCCAAATAAGCCCATTGGTCCAGTGAAGAATCTACGACCCCTCACTCTCTCAAATGCTGTTAGAAAGATTCTTTCAATGGCAACCTTGAAGAGAATTGAGAATAAAGTCAATGCCTTCACTGGTCCATGGCAATGTGCTTACAAGCAGGGTAGATCATGTGCTGACATTGTATGGTGCCAGCGTGTGATGTTATCAGTTGTCCAGAGGAAGAGGTGGGAATACCATCGTATGGGGATCGATATGTCTAGTGCCTTTGACACTATACGACGATCTACCATCCTCGATCTTCTTGTTGAGTGTGGCTGTGATGATGACGAAGTCCGTTTGGTAAGACTTTTGCTTTCCAACACCAAGCTCAAAGTCAATATCAACGGTACACTGTCTGCTGAATTCCAGAGTTTTCTCGGTGCATTCCAAGGTGACTGTCTGTCTGGATGTTTGTTCACACTTGTCTTAGCGGGTGCCTTGCGTGACCTCCGTAACAGGCTTGAAACTGCAATGAATAGGCCTAACCCACCTATCACCGATATCGGTCTTCCACTTGACAGTGAGTATGCTGATGATATCGACTTCAATGATGAAGATGAGGACAATTTGAGGGAGCTGTTGCCTATTGCAACAGAAGTCCTTAAAGATTGGAATCTCTTCGTTAACGAAGACAAAACTGATTTCACTCATGTGTACTTAGCTGAAAAGGGAGCTAAAGACGATCAGGGTAAGCCAATTGCAGGGAACGAGCTCTGGAGAAAGAGTATCACGCTTGGCTCCATGCTTTGTAGTAAGGAGGACATCTCTAGAAGGATATGTCTGGGATATGCCGCGTTTAACAAATACAAGAAAGCTTGGAACCATAAGATCCCTCTGAGCAAGAGGCTTCTGTTGTATGAGGCTCTGGTAGTATCCGTTTTAATGTACAATTCATCTTGCTGGGCTGCCCCTAAATCAGTATTGGAAAAACTAGATATTGCTCACAGACGTCATCTGCGATCAATTTTGAATTACAAATACCCTCACATCATTTCCAACAAGAACTTGTATAAACGCTGCAATAGCGAACCATTGTCAGCTAAAGTGGCTCGTAGTCGGTGGAGGATGCTCGGACATGTACTGCGTGGGCCTACAGATGGTCCAGCCTATTCGTCGCTTGTTTTTGCTGTTAACACCTTACAGCTTCAAGGGCGGCGTGGAAGACCGCAGTCAAACCTTTTCTCACTGATTCTACACGACCTTAGTGTTCGAAAATTATCGTTAAATAATTTATGTGATTTAAACAGTTTAACTTTAATCGCTCAGAATAGAGTTAAATGGAGAAGTATGCAAATTGCATGACTTTTGTTTGAGAAAGATTAGGGGACAGAAATGTTTACTCTGTTTACTATCTGTTTCTTAGAGCTTTTGTTTATATATATATAGTCACTAAACGGATTTTTTTCTGTTCTTTGGGAGATTGATGCAATCGTATAAAATTAATGCCGTATAAAAAATATCCGTACAAAACTCGTGACGTACAAATATTCTGTACTAAGGTATGCGGAAAGCTGATGAACTATTGACTTATCCGACTTATGATCAGTGATAACATTACACTAATTGGTATCCCCTATTAGTGCTAAAGGGGTTGAAATCAAATTATATATCAGCCGTTCATCTTTTTACATTTAAGTTTAACTAAAACTAAAAGTTTACATAAGCTGTTATGCTGTAAAACTAAAGAGTAAGACAGTTGCGTGACAAAGGCCCTCCGCAAACCGCAAACCCCGCTATGCGGCGCCATCAATCATTTGATTTTGCAGCAAAATGTACAATATCCCGGACAATTTAACGTTCGGTCGATGCAAAAAATATTTGGGATTACAAAAAGCTCCAAGGGGCTGTGATAGTAGTAGTAGTATGGGGCACCAAAAAAGACCCGACCTCTTTTTTAAACTTGAAGGACCAAAACTTTGAAACTGTTTCTTATCTGAATTATAGTCACGTTCAGATTATGGAAACTTAATTAAAATGTCGATGATATGGGGCTGGTTATCTTGATAGTGCCAATGGAATCGGGGAAGGTACACGACATCTGTCCGACAGCGACATCTGTCCGACAGCACTATTTTCTTGTGTTTGAAGTGATATCTCAAATTTGGCACATAGAAATTCACCCGAACTTGCACAAATTATTTGTCTTAACTCTTAAAGCTATCTTACCACTAAATAGTTTCAAGAAATTAATCGTATCGTTGGATCTCCAGATATATGCCTTGGAATTTCACTGCAAACCACCGAATTGGAGATATTTTTTGTGTTTAAGGTGATATCTCAAATTTGGCACATGGAAACTCGAACAGATGTCGCCCAATCAACAGGGAACTACCTATGGTCGAAAATGAGGACCTTAACTGCCTTCACATTTTTAATCGTGAAAGTATAATGGAGAGCATCTAAAGGAGACGGCGGAGAAGGAAATAATCAATTAGCGACACGATTCGCGAATAAACAATTCGCATATACGTATATGCTTCGAACTTTTTCAGCCGTACGTGATATATTAAGTACAGAATACGAAAAACGCGTTTACAAGACGCCAGACGGAAGTCTTGTAAACGCAGGACTTGTAAATAAACACTGATAGGGGGCTGATAGGGGGTACCAATTAGTGTAATTTTATCACTGATCATATGTCGGATAAGTCAATAGTTCATCAGCTTTCCGCATATTAGATTTTGGAGAAATTAGGAAGAAAAATAAACCTAGGTTCTCCCATCCCGCCCAACCTCATGATTCAATTTACTTGTTGCTTTACTGTTTGTTCTTCCGTCTGGCGTCTTGTAAACGAAATTAAACAATTCGAGTCACGATTCGCGAATGAACAATTCGCATACCTTATCAGGTCCTAGCGTTCATCTTAATGTCTACCTGTACTGGGGACCCCAGGCTATTATGTTTATAAACACGAATAAAGATTCGGTTAACGGGTGATACTCGTAAAATATCTGTTCCATATATTAGGACCGTCGACGAGTCCAACTCGGCCGGCGCGCGTCCTGGTAGGTTGTAAACCTACAAAGATTCGGCGGAATGACACTGACAGGCTGAGCGCCGCCCAGTAATGTCCGTTCAAATAAAGTCCGTTCATTTAAGGTCCGTTCAAGTTAAAGTCTGTTGAATTTTTTTTCAAAAATTTTCCATTTCGAACTTTTCGAACATTTCGAACCCATTTGATGAAGTTGATATGTGACATAAGACACTGATCATGAACACATATTTCAACATGTTTACTGCTTAACGACTGCTTTTATTGCTTACTGTATGAAAAATGGATTTAAAAATCATTTGCTAAAATTTTTAAAAATGTCAAAAAAAGATGAAAAAATTCGGATTTTTGATGGTTTTGAATGCCTTCTATCTAGCTTTCATATTAATGTCCGTTCACAATTATGTTCGTTTATTTAATGTCCGTCCAAATAAGGTCCGATAAGGTATATCACGTACGGCTGAAAAATTTGAAATACAAAATACGGAAATTTACAAGACGCCAGACTAACAAACAGTAAAGCAACAAGGAAGTCGAAGAAATTTGTTTCAGAACACTCAAACAGGCAGATGTATTTGAATCATGAGATTAAGAGATCGGTTTTTAATTGAATCATGAGATTGGGCGGGATCATAGAAGAACTTAAGGTTTCTTTTTATCTTCCTAATTTCTCTGAATTATCCGACTTATGATTAATGATAACATTACACTAATTGGTACCCCCTATCAGCCCCCTATCAGTGCTAGGGGGGTTGAAATCAAATTATATATCAGCCGTTTATTTTTTTACATTTAACTAGAAGTTTACAAAAGCTGTGATGCTGTAAAGACATGAGTTGCGTGATGCAAAGGCCCTCCGCAAACCCCGCTATGCGGCGCCATCAATCGTTCGATATTTTTCATATTATTTACAGTTACGATCAAGCAATAAATATAAAGTATTGCACCTAGCGATCGGCATTTAATTGAATCATGAGATTGGGCGGGATAGAAGAACGTGAGGTTTCCTCTTCTTCCTAATTTCTCCATTTACCTGGGGACCTCAGGCTATCATGTTTATAAATATAGAGATTAGGCGGAATGACAGGCTGAGCGCGGCCCAGTAAATTATTTACAGTTACGATCAAGCAATCTTACTATATATAAAGCGAGACGATATATATGGTTCCGTACCATTTTACTGACACCACGGCATCAACTTTAACGCGACTTTCCGCAAAAACCGTAAAAAATATACAACTGAAACTTTGTTGACTGGGTCAAATGCTTTAATGGCCTCCAAATCAGCAAGAAAAAATAAAAAATTGGCCTTGGTCAAGAAATAGGAGTTTTAGAGCCCAAAATTTGGACTCCCAAGTGGTGTCAAAAACGCGAATTAAATAGGTGATAATTATTTTAGTCTCTTGAGTCTTGACACCATTTTAGGGTTATACGGGTTCCTGCTAGTAAATATAAAGTATTGCACAGCGATCGGTATTTAATTGAATCATGAGATTGGGCGGGATAGAAGAACGTAAGGTTTCCTCTTCTTCCTAATTTCTCCATTTAACTAGACATTTATGCATAATGCTGTTATGCTGTAAAACTAAAGAGCAACAGACAAAGGCTCTCCGCAAACCCAGCTAGCTAATGCTATGCAGCGCCATCAATCATCCGATGTTGCAGAAAAATGTACCATATACCAGGCAATTTAACGTTCGGTCGATGCGAAAAATAATTAGGATTACAAAAAGCTCCGAGGGGCATCAAAAAATACCAGACTTCTTTTTTAAACTTGAAGGACCAAAGGCAAAGGGCGCCAAATGGTAAAGTTATGCAATTACAAAAAGTTCCAAGGGCATCAAAAATACCAGACTTCTTTAATTTTTTTAACTTGAAGGACCAAAGGGCCCCAAATGGTAACGTTATGCAATTACATTTTCAACGATCTCATTTAATGACTTCCTAGATCGAGCGCACGTTAGCATGATATTGATATTGATAATGATATACGATATATATATATACAAGACGCATATCTGATATCACAAGCAACATGACAAGTCACGTGCGAGGGGCAAACCTACCATGACACCCAACCATCATGTTTCTTGACGAAGATGGTATTGGTAGGGACTCAGTGTCACTGTTTCTTAAAATCGCAGGTACGTTTTCTCAAAAACGTTTATAATCGTTCGGAGGTAATGCATAATGCAATTTATTCTTGTTCCTAAGAATTGTAAATTTGATTCTTTTCAGCTTCAGTACTGTCAGTACTACAGTTTGATCACTGATAGAATATCGAAGAGGGAATGAGAGAAAAGACAATTTTTTTGAGAAAAGACAATTTTATTATTTATCACCAATTCAATACATAATCAATAAATATATATCCGCATAAATTTGATTTAAAATGAAATGATACAAGTATGCTAGCAGCTAGCGCGCTTGTATTTGATCAATATAGTTATACAATTACACGCTGTTAAAATGGGTCTCAATGAAAATGACAGTTACGAGTTTCGGAACAATTACTTTTTGTCAACATTTAATTTGCGATATCCTCCCCGATAACATTAACCATTTAATTTAAACATGTCGACCTTTTTAGGGCGGATCAAATCTGAGCGGCAAAAATTATCGATGGCTCTAATAATATTGTAAAAGAAGAAAAATTTGCTTAGATATTAATAGCCGTAGGGTAGACCTTCAAATGACAATGATATGTTCATGTTATTATTAATGTTAGTACCGATTATATTTAAAGTGCCGTTATAGCACCGGGATTCGTACCTGTTTTTATAAATGATTAATATAATTCGAACGATAACACTAACAGTAACAGTAGATTTGCTACTATCCTGCCCCAAAAAAAAAGCTTGATTTGCTCATAGTCATAATGTCCAGTTTTAGCCTTAGGCCTAGGGTATTTAGGGTATTACGAGGCCGTGAAGCAGTGGCGTAACGTTGCCTGTTCACTGTTACCCCCCCCCCCCCCCCCCCCCCCCCCCCCGCCGAAAAAAGCGCCCCTCTGTTGGCGCCCCCTCCCCTTTTGGTTCCCTCCTTAAAAATAAAATTGAACAAATTAGGTGATTTTAGAGGATACGCCGGTAAAATCTTTAAAAAAGTGTGTATCTAGAAGTAGAGCATAACGCGCAGTTTTGCTATTACTTAACTTTTAGTTAAGTTTTCGAAATTTTCCCACATTCAATTTCAAACGACGATTTGGCCCCCCCCCCCCCCCCCCCCCCCCCCCCCGCGTCAGCGGGGCTATGCTATAGATACACACTTTTTTAGAGATTTTACCGGCACATCCTTTGTAGGTTTATTGCAGGTTTATAACTTAACGGGTGATACTCGTAAAATATCTGTTCCATTTACCTCAGGCTATTATGTTCATAAACATAATATAGAAATTTGGCGGAATGACAGGCTGAGCGCGGCCCAGTAACTGTTCCATATATTGACGACGAGTCCAACTCGTCAACCTACAAGTTTATAACCTACCACTACCAAAACGCTTACTGGGCAGCGCTCAGCCTGTCATTCCGCCTAATCTCTATTAACTCTATTTAACAACATTAAAGCCTGGGGTCCTCAGGTAACCAAGACGCACGCCGAGTTGGACTCGTCGACGGGATCCTGATATTTGAAACAAATATTTTACGAGTATCACCTTGCTACACGTTGTAATTGTATACCTCTAGCACTCGTGCACGCGAAGCGTGCACGCCGCGGCCGGCCACGCGCGATCAAATGGGGTTACAGTGTGTGTCAAGTATCACTCGTTAACATATCCTATATTAAAATCACCTAATTTGTTCAATTTTATTTTCAGGGAGGGGGCGCCAACATGAAGTACTTGAACAGGGGCCCAGGAACCCTGACCGGATGGGGCTTAACTTTGAAAGGAAAAGAGTTGGAGACATCCGGTTTTTTGTAACATGTTCCTCTTTTAAAAGTAACGTTACCTCTCCAGGAGGAAAATTCAAGACAACGTAATTGTTGAGTTATCTCAAAATCTCCAGAAAAGTCCCCTTTCGGGCCGATCAAAAGTTTCGGTCGCGCTAAATCACTCTACAGTCGATTTTCTTATTTCATCACTTTTAGTTTCGCATTGGATAAAGCACATGTTATATCCGCGCGTTACGTGTGATCATATTTAATCCTGATTTCCCAATTACGTTTCTACTACATGCAGCTTTATACTTTGGATTTCAAACTTCGAGTTTTCGTCAACAGTCAATAATTATCCATGATTCATCTGCATCTAGGGGGTGCACCATAAAAATAAACTTGCTTGGATTTTAAAAATTTTTGTACCATTGTTTTTTAGAGACTGTGAGAATTTTCACAATACCAAATTTGTCATACCTTTTTGGCAAGATCAGTGAGTTTCGCCTAGGTGCCATATTTGATGGTGCGCGGCTTCTGGAGCAAAATTAGCTGTAAAAGTCGCGTAATTTGACCACATTTGACCAAATTCGTTGATTTTTGTCGTATTATTTGGACATATCTTCAGTTCCTTGAATGAGATCATTCTGAAAATTGGCGACAACCTTCCAATAGGGCTTTCACGACTGTCCGAAAAATTTGGTGGATATCGGAGTTGATATAGTGATCAAAATGGGGCAAAATACGCTGCTTTTCGCTGTAACATAATGTCTAATGGTTGGATATGCTATAAACTTTTCGGACACTTTCCTTGTAAGTCTATGAGTAAGCTTACCAATTTTTGTTGCAATCGGAGGTTGGGAAGGATACTTAATATCTATTTCATATTTGTTTGAAGAAAATTGTGCTGGCCGAAATTAGCGCTAAAAAACCATCCTACAGTCGGCACGCGCGGCTCACTGTCGATGGCGCACTACCTACTGCATCAGTGCCACTTGTGTTATACCTTAAATGTAGTTATGAGTTATAATCCTATAAGTTTAATGAATAGCTGTTAAAAATGTTGATCCTCATTTGCTCGCAGGTGTACTGACATATGCTATAGGTACAAATAGAATTGTAATCAATCCTAGAAATAGTGCGCAGAGCTGGTTTTGTGGTTAAGTTTTGTAGTTGGAAAGTGTTTTTAATGTAGAGTGGGATCAGCTCTGAGGATTTATAATTCGCATCATTTAGTCGTTTCAGAACCTAGAAATAGTGCTCAAAGCTCGTTTTGTGGTTAAGTTTTGAAGTTGGAAAGTGTTTTTAATTTAGAGTGGGATCAGCTCTGGGGATTTGTAATTCGCATCATTTAGTCGTTTCAGAACCTAGAAATAGTGCTCAGAGTCGGTTTTGTAGTTAAGTTTTTTAGTTGATTGTAAACCGAGACGGTGCCCGGGTGGTTCTAATGACCAATTTAAATCTTAACAAATATATTATAAAAATTGTAATAATCCCTCACAAGGGCACTGCACTCTTCACAGTGGCTGCGCTGCAACTAGCGCACAAATTTGGCGCCCCGCCGTCAGTCGAACTAAGTAGACCTTACGTCGATTTATCGTTAACAACGCATGATTTTGCCATTTGCACAAATATTGTAAAAATGCGCGGTCGAGCCGCGCACAGTCAACACAATTTTTGATGAAACAGCTACAAGCTAGAGCCAATATACTCTGCAAGCTTTTCAGTCAGCCTCTTCCACATACCAGGCAGCATTAATTTGCATTACCTCTTCCACAAGTACTCCACTCAAAAATTAGATTTCTAGAGCTCAATCTAGGATCATTTCTTTGTGCACTGTTTCAAAACGCGATCGTACGCTACCTTTTGTTCGCAGTTTTTTACCTTCTGTTCACAGCTTTTTTAAAAATTTGTTATTCATTGTGTATTGGCATATTTGTTATATGCTTTTTATTGTTCATGAAGTTGATGACATGAGCATATTATTGTCATGTTTTGTTGATCGTGCAAATTTTAAATTGCTTTATTATACTATACTTCTCCGGTTTTAGAAAATGGATTCTGTGAATTCTAATAAAGATACACGCCCTCATATTGAGCTAAATACTCTTTTCGAGACAGGAGCATGATTAACCAATGGATCGTTTGTGAGTAAAAATGTTCAAGTTTCTATTAAGAATGCTTTTGTTTAGATAAATTCATCGTTCAAAATATTATGGCTCAACGTTATTAGTATTACCGTACACGTATCTATTTTACAGTTACTCTATTTTAGGATATGACCCGATATTTTATATTACTGTATCTATTTTACAGGACATTTCTACCGTCAGTACCAATCTGCTCAGCAACTCCTTTTCTAACAACCATCATATGGCCATCGGTATATAGGACGACCTCATAAGACCTTTCCGGACATCCTACAAGATCAGAAGATACTGGATTGCAATCTGATAAGGTTCGTTGGCTCATGAGTGATAGAGATAAATGGAGAGAAGCGCTGTCACGAAACTGGAAACTCGTTCCAGACTTCATCGACCTAGGCAGGTAGGCATTTTACAATTATTTCAGAATAATATGACCTGACATGTTAATTATTACCGTATCTGTTTTACAATTACTTCAAGATATGAATCAGTGTTCAAAAATGCGTCAATTCAAGTTGGTCTAGTTCGATCGGCCCTTCTAGAACTATATCCGTGTTTCCTAAAAAAGGTTCATCATTTTTTCCAGTTGTTTCTTGCACCCTCTAGATCTCCTCCCATATTTGGGCCATTCGTATCGGCCAATTGAGCAGAAATTCAGGAAGCTTGGTTTCAGATATTTTTGTGATATCAGACATGTGTAATTGTACGCTCCTGTCACCAGTGTACACATCATTTTAGACTACTAGTTCATCTTCCTATGTGGTTATTGGCCTTTTGTTATTAACCTCATTACACACGGTTAGCAAGCTGTTTCCACCTCACTTTCCTTAATTAGGCTTCTTTGTCACCCCTTTTGTTTACTCTACAGACTGACAGGCTTAGTTATACTCCATTAATTGGATGATGTTAGTTTAAGACCGGCATATGTGTCACGTGAATATATTTAGAGGCAATCAGGGAGACTGTCGGGACTCTTTCTCTGTATTACTCTTGATAAAACGTATTACTCTCGTAAAACGGTGAATTCAACGGTAAATGTACTTAAACGCACTTTTAACCTTAGTTGTAGTGAACGCTGAACTTAGTCGTACTGAACGTACGTTCCAATCATTTTGTAGTGAACGTTTGTGAACGTTAGTATACGTTAGTCAATATTTTGATAATTTTCCGATAGTTTTTAACTTAAGATGGATACAATGAGATAAAACCATGTTGTTGGAATTAGACAGTAAATAAACAATGACCAAACTGACCAACTATGGTTACCACAGCAAATATACTGTTCTCGTATCTTGCGGTCGATTTAACGGTCTGTTCATGGTACTTCCCAAAAGATTTGGGGTATGATTACCCTGAAGGCTGAAACTTAAGAAGTCAAAGGTAAAATTGTTAAACTTAAAGTTGCTCAAGGATACGTTTCTTTCTCTGGAATTTGATCTTCCACAAAACTTCATTAGGGATCGATGTGTAAAATGTACATCGTTCTTATATATACGATATTATAGTATAACAACCATTCAGCTCAAGATCAATCAACATTTGTATTTGTAACATACCTCAAGGCCCTGAAGGCCTGGCAATGGAAACGCTAGTACTTTGCCGGATAATTGGGCTATGTCCTGCATTTTAATTTCATAATAGCAATTAACTTTCCTTATGTTCCGAACGTTAAAATTTTTTAGCGAACGCGTTCACAAACTATTTTTAGTGAACGTTCCGTACGTTAGATAGCTGAGCGTGGTGATTAAATCACTCTACACTTGAATTTTGACATTCTTCTAAAAGACCTCCCGAAAATTCATGAATAACCTGATTTTAAGGTTCTTTGATCTAACACTGCCGGCGTCTCTTCCGAGGTTGTCTAATCTATTTATCAATTTAGCTCGAGAGCTTTAAACAAACATTGCACGTGCCTCGGCTGCCCCGATGGAGTAAAACATTTAGCTAGAGCCATGATCATTAGTGGCAGTGGCTATCCCTGCTGCATATAATGCAGTACGTGTACTAATAGCAGCAGATATGAAATAACAACAAGATTGCTTACTGATTCGCTTGCAAGAAATTCCTGAGCTGAATAGGGCCGGTAGCTCAATTAAAGCACTAGGCATGTAACCCGGAGGTTGGCGGTTCATACCCGCCCCGGCATTATGCCGTCCCATGATTTTCCGAATTGCTTACCAGTGGTAGTTTAACCCTGGAAATGAAGTTAAAGATTATAATTGTATTATTTTATAGGGACGTACTAAAGAGAAGAAATTAACGAGGTCAGCGATATGAAGAAGACTGAAAGTAAAAATGTGCGACTGTGCGTACTAAATCACTCAACACTCAAATTTTAAGATTTTGAAAACTGTCTCGACCACTTGATATGACGTGGTAGCCTGTGAGCGTGTAGACCGCTCCTCTTTCATTTTTTTGAGTAGCCGATCCAAAACCAAAACCTGTGACCTGGGTTTACATGAGACGTGGGAGCCTGTGAGCGTGTTAGTTTCTCAAAAATATGTCGGAGGAGGGGATAGAATATATGCAAAAAGATGTCCGAAATATAAGGTAAGCACTTTTATTAATAATAATATCACCGTTTTTCGTCGTTTATTGCAGAATAAATTTTAATAACGTACGTCTCTGCTATATTTATCCTTTTACGCTCCAGCATAATCCAGGAGATCTCTGAAGTCTCGTTTCTCTTTGTATTACGTAGATCAGAGATTATTACATAATTGATAAACAGTATAAATTACAGGAGTTCCCGGTCTTGGCTTGGAAACTACGTCAAAAATCTGGGCCAGACACTAGAAACATCGATTTTGCGTGGCGATCTGTTCCTAAATCACATTGTTGAAGGAATTCCTAGAGCAAGTACTAAGGAGGTAAACCGATTTCTTACAGACATAGAGTCTGTTGCAATATGCTGTACCTATTTAGAAATTCCACCCTAATTTTAAGACTCTTTGATCTATAGCTTCCAGCGTTTTTATCGATTTAGTCCCACAGCACTAAACAAACATTGGAGATAGATGATACAATTTTGCGTTTGTAAATAGACATTTATTTTTATATACAAGTCAAAGATTACAATTGTATTATTTTATAGGGACGATATAATAACGGCAAACGAAAAAAGATCAAGTCTCTATATCCAGCCGACATTATAAGTTCCTCGGAGTTAGGCGGGCTAAATTTCTTGAAAAAAGTCATTATAGGATTTACAGAAATCAGCGATGGAGAAGACTGAAAGTAAAGATGTACATTGTACGTGCTATGTCATTCAACACTCGAATTTTAACATTTTTAAAACTGTCTCGACCACTTGATATGATATTCTAAGAATCTGATATTTCATTGCATGCTTTAGTTAGGAGTCTTCTTTCTCGGAGTATGTAGCTGATATCTTAAAACATAGATATCAGCTACAGACTCCGAGAGTCTTGAAGCTCTGTTACCACCACCCCTGGTGCAATTCCGTCGGGTTAAAGACGGAGAGACAGGAACTCTCAGGGAAGGTCATGGCCTGCTACGTGCAACTCGTAGTCGTATGTAGTGTTCCTGGTAGGTGTTACTTATAAATCTGGTTAACGGGATCTTCAAACAGTTGATACACAGTTGTCTAGGTACTGTCATGTCTAAGCGGAAACTTGTCTCTGGCCCTCACCTATGGGTTTATATCTCAAACCACACAGTGTCCATGTCCTGCTCCTGAATATTTCCATATTTTTGAACTGCAGTCCATTAATATTGCTAAAAGTAAAAGTGATTTCAACTACTATACCTTTAAACCTGTAACGTCACTGTAGACCGCTCCTATATCCTTGCTTCCAGTTTCCGATCCAGAACTAAATCCTGGCTTATACTAAACGTGGTCAGTGGTAGCCTGTGAGGGTGTAGACCGCTCCTCTATTGTTTTATGTTTATCTATATCGGTATTTTGATTGTCCGATCCAAAACTAAATCCTGGGTTTCCAAGAGACGTGGTAGCCTGTAAGCGTGTAGACCGCTCTTTTATCTTTGTTTTGAGTGTCCGATCTAAAACCAAAACCTGGGGTCGGTTACATGAAACGTGGGAGCCTGTGAGGGCGTTAGTTTCCTGCGAAAGGAGTTATTTGCTCATACTTGTGCATTGTGGAAAGAGCATGGTTATGCTCTAAGGCTAGTAGAGGTTATTACATCCTTTCCTTTGTTGTAAAGATGGCTAGTCTCTTTCTTCACCTACGCATATATGATATAAGATCGCGCGCGTTCCGCGCATTTTGTTCAATTTAAAGTCAATATTGTAAACAAATAAGTATAATTCGTATAACTTTGATTAACGTTTTGGTTACGAATATTTTACTGCCGATCATTAAAACTTTGACTGTATTGTTATTTAGACAATTTCTGATCATTTCGTGTAAATATGCCCAAATACTTTTACTTAGTTAAAATGTTATGATCAAAACAAAATGGAAGACTTTTACTTGTTTTAAAATGCACTTAACTCTATTTACAGTTAAGCTAGAAATTTCAAAATTGCTAGATAATGATATTTAGACCATAAATTGTATGTTGTATTAAAAATCATACTAAAAGGATTGTTCTGGAATTTATGAAAAGCATTTAAAGAGTGCTCATAATATATATCTTGTCAAAACGCGCGAAAACGCGCGAAAATACTTAGTTTGCAATTTGCGCTTTTGCAGCCACTGTGCTCTTGATAGGAAAATGCCTCACTGTGTAGAACAGCAACTTTACGATGGAATTTAAACCTCATCTGACAAATATCGCGAAAACTTAAAGTTTTGTGTGCTCCAACCGCCAACGGCCAGAATGAATGACTCAATCAAACGAAAAATTGTATCACAACGGGACAAGTTCCCATCCTCATACAAACACTATCGTCCCTAATGAAATAATAACACATGTATTGTAAAAAATGCACTCTAGTGAAAGCCACACTCATCTCATCTTATCTTATCTTATCTTATGAGGATTCGTTGCGACGCAACAAGGCCATCGAATGAGTCGACCACAGCTTTGTTATTTTACTTCGGCATTACCTGCATTACAATGTAAACTAGCACTTTCAAGGAAGAGCTTTACAAGAAGCCGAAGGATCGTTCCTAAGGCCAGCAACGGTTAAGGCACTATGCCACACTTTCTTCGCCCGAGGCTTCGCTGTGTTGATCAAGCACAGCTCCTCATTTAACCCTCACACCCGATTTCTCGAGCATTCGGCTGAGTGAACCGTGGGGCTACATAGACAACTCGGGATCCTTAGCAGAGCGTCAACGACGCTCACCCCACGACTAGGCAGGCAGAGGGATTCGAACTCGCAATCTTACGATTACAAATCCGATGATCAACCAACTACGCTACCTGGCCACTGATTTTTCTTCAGTATGAATTGTCCCTCCTTTGATGTAGTGGTGCTTGTTTGGCTCAGCTTCTTTCTTCTTATGCAGGTTTTGAACAAGAAGTCTGTGCTTAACACGATCCTCCAAAGAGCGGTCTGGACTAATGAAGACTGAGCTCAACTTCTCTGATTGTCGCAGCTTTCGAGCTTGACTGATTTTTTGATAGGCTGTTACTGGACAGAGTAACCTTGACTGGCTGAGTAGTTTTCTCCTTCGACTTGCCAATTCTACTGAGCTCCATTGCTGGTTTCAGTCCAATCTCTTCAAAAATTTCTTCGACAGTTTTGTTCAAGTCTTTACTGGAATCTTCAGGCAAACCAAAAATCATAGTGTTCTTGCTCCGGTCTTCTGCTTGCACCACAGACTTGACGACTTCCTTCAAAGTCTCGGCAGTAACTGAACGTCTTTCAGGTTGAAAAACCTTGACGTTTTCCTGAACTGTATCGCTGTACGATTTAAACTGACTTTCTACCGTGTCTTTGACGACGGTCTGCACTGCATGCAACTGTTTCTGCAGTCAATTATTGATTCCTGAGCGCTGATGACCAATTTCTGATTCTCTATCAACTGATCCTTGATTGAGCTCAATCTGTTTTTCATCTTCTTCAAATTGTCATTTTGAAAGCGAACCAAATGCAAACTTTTCCTTATCCTCTAGATTTAATGTCCTTTTAGTCAAAAAGTGTTTGCACAATACAGAAGTTATGTGAATTGGTTCTTCACAACCGAACTGATCCATAACTCTTGTCATCCAATCCTCAGCTTTAAACATAATACTGTCGATCTCCGTGTTGTCCACAGCTGCCATGATGCAAGGCTAAGCCACAAGGTGCTCTAAGGATTTATAATTCGCATCATTTAGTCGTTTCAGAACCTAGAAATAGTGCTCAAAGCTGGTTTTGTGGTTAAGTTTTGTAGTTGGAAAGTGTTTTTAATGACGTGTTTTATAACTCCCGGCATGGCTGCACAACAGTCTCCCTTAAGAACACTTTCCACTGTTAATACAAAATAGCATTTACGATAGTTGTTATACCAATCTGCCTTAATAAATTCGTTCATGAATTCATACACTGTAGACTGTACATTTGATTAGCAATTTACTGGGCATGCGACTTAATTGTGCCATGATGTTGATAGTTGTCAAATTTCGGGAGTTGGACTTTCCGTACCAAACTGTACCATATGGTACAATATTTGACGAAAGTCGATTATCTCGAGATCTAACTGATAGAATTTTTAAAAACTTTCCAGATATTTCCACAGCTATAAGACGGATAATCTGAGCAAGCTTGGGCGAATTTTTATTTGCCAAACTTGAGATATGACTTCAAACACAAGAAAATATCTCCAAATTGGCGGTTTAGGCGGAACACAGGAATATATTTCAAGATCTGACTGATAGATTTTCTTTAAACTTTTGAAATAGTTACATGGTTATATGGCGGATAATGTGTGAGAGTTTTGGAGAAATTCTATGTGCCAAACTTGAGATATGACTTCAAACACAAGAAAATATCTCCAAATTGGCGGTTTCTAACGGAACACAGGCATATATTTCAAGATCTGACTGATAGATTTTCTTTAAACTTTCCAGATAATTACATGGCTATATGACGGATAATGTGTACGAGTTTGGGAGAATTTCTATGTGCCAAACTTGAGATATGACTTCAAACACAAGAAAATATCTCCAAATTGGCGGTTTCTAACGGAACACAGGCATATATTTCAAGATCTGACTAATAGATTTTCATTAAACTTTCCAGATAGTTACATGGCTATAAGACGGATAATCCGTGCGAGTTTGGGCAAATTTCTATGTGCCAAACTTAAGATATGACTTCAAACACGACAAAACTGTACCATAATATGGATTGGTCGAAAATCGAGTGTTTTAGTGAATAACTTAGAATATATTTTCAATTTTCTCAAGATCTGACCGATAGATTTTCTTTAAACTTTTGAGATAGTTACATGGTTATATGGCGGATAATGCGTAAGAGTTTTGGAGAAATTCTATCTGCCAAACTTGAGATATGACTTCAAACACAAGAAAATATCTCCAAATTGGCGGTCTCGGCGGAACAAAGGAATATATTTCAAGATCTGACTGATAGATTTTCTTTAAACTTTCCAGATAATTACATGGCTATATATGACGGATAATGTGTACGAGTTTGGGAGAATTTCTATGTGCCAAACTTGAGATATGACTTCAAACACAAGAAAATATCTCCAAATTGGAGGTTTCTAACGGAACACAGGCATATATTTCGAGATGTAACTGATAGATTTTCATTCAACTTTCCAGATAGTTACATGGCTATAAGACGGATAATCTGTGCGAGTTTGGGCAAATTTCTATGTGCCAAACTTAAGATATGACTTCGAACACGACAAAACTGTACCATAATATGGATTGGTCGAAAATCGAGTGTTTTAGTGAATAACTTAGAATATATTTTCGATTTTCTCAAGATCTGACCGATAGATTTTCTTTAAACTTTTGAGATAGTTACATGGTTATATGGCGGATAATGTGTAAGAGTTTTGGAGAAATTCTATGTGCCAAACTTGAGATATGACTTCAAACACAAGAAAATATCTCCAAATTGGCGGTTTCTAACGGAACACAGGCATATATTTCGAGATCTAACTGATAGATTTTCATTAAACTTTCCAGATAGTTACATGGCTATAAGACGGATAATCCGTGCGAGTTTGGGCAAATTTCTATTTGCCAAACTTAAGATATGACTTCAAACACGACAAAACTGTACCATAATATGGATTGGTCGAAAATCGAGTGTTTTAGTGAATAACTTAGAATATATTTTCAATTTTCTCACGATCTGACTGATAGATTTTCTTTAAACTTTCCAGATAATTACATGGCTATATGACGGATAATGTGTACGAGTTTGGGAGAATTTTTATGTGCTGAATTAGGGAATTCGGACAGATGTCGCTGTCGGACAGGAGTTGTTTTTGGCGACATCTGTCCGAATATCGGATCATATTGTCATTTCGGTTCACATTCGTATTTCACAAGCTCACGGGTAATCTCGTGACGTTCTAAAGCTGATGTGATCCCTTAAGATCTGATCTATCGATACGTGATTGACTAGTTGAGAACAGGATCGTGCTAGCCGTACCCTAACAAGCTGTCGATCACATCACAGGACATGAGTACATATAGGACAGCAGTATGGAGATCACTTATCGCAATCCACAATCACGGATTCCATTCAATGCTCTCCTGCTCGAAGCCCACAATTTTGAAGTTCCTTGATTGCCTTAAAGCAGAACAAGCCCTTACAGACGTGAAGAAAACCAAAAGAGACGGGCGGGAACTACCTGAGCCACGTGCACCCAAATGGATCCGCTATGATCGACAACTTCAGAGAATTGTAGATGATTACGACAACTACAGCAACCCTATGGATTTCCTTAAAGCTATCGGAAATTTGACCATGCTTTAGATTTGATTCTGTGATATTGTATTATATTGAATTAATTTATATAACATTTAAATAACATTGAAACTATTGTCCAATTTATCGACATCAAATGAAAATAAACTGTGGTAGTAAACTATGGCTCAGATCATATCTCAAATTGGACATGTTACGTATACAATTTAGCAAGTAACAGTTTAGATCATGTCTCTAATTGGAAATGTGTCGTATTGAAATCAGGTCACAATTTCGGACAGATGTCGTTTTTTTTTGGTACCCTGAGTCGAACAGATGTCGCTGTCGGACAGGAGTCGTGTTACCACTCTCACACATTATCCACCATATAACCATGTAACCATCTAAAAAGTTTAAAGAAAATCTATCGGTCAGATCTTGAGAAAATCGAAAATATATTTTAAGTTATTCACTAAAACACTCGATTTTCGACCAATCCATATTATGGTACAGTTTTGTCGTGTTTGAAGTCATATCTCAAGTTTGGCACATAGAAATTCTCCCAAACTCGTACACATTATCCGTCATATAGCCATGTAATTATCTGGAAAGTTTAAAGAAAATCTATCTGTCAGATCTTGAAATATATGCCTGATTTCCGTTAGAAACCGCCAATTTGGAGATATTTTCTTGTGTTTGAAGTCATATCTCAAGTTT